ACAAGAGAACAAAGACGGGGGGGGGGGGGGGGGGGGGGGGGGGAGGGAGGAGGGAGGGAGGTTTTGGTGATGGGACACAATAACTATCTACATTGTATATTGACAAAATAAAAAAAAAAAAAATGAAAACATGGGCTGGCTGGTTAGCTCACTTGGTTAGAGCATGGTGCTGATAACACCAAGGTCACAGGTTTGCATCCCTGTACAGGCCAGCTGCACCCCCCACCTCACAATGAAAAAGAATATACTATCTACAATCCAAAAGATCAAAGCCTAATGAAAGACAGACATGTAAACAAAATCACAGCAATTCGATAACTGAAACAGTAAACAAAACAGAGCTCCATTTGAAGTCAAAATGTTTTTCTGGAAGCAGTTATATTTATGCTAAGAGGATTAACAGCAGTTCTCCAGGCTGGGGGTTAGTGATTGAGATGAGCACACTTGGTCGAAGAAAATGAAAGGGCACATGTAAAGATCTACAAGTAAGAAACGGCATGGTAGGGTCTGGAGCAGAGTGCTTGCACAGAGGCAAGTTTAGAAAGGCAGGCGTGAACCGGATCATTATGGCCTAGTACGCCAAACCAAAGAGTTGCCCCTTTTTAAATAAGTAATGAGGAATCACAAAGGTATTTTAAGGGCAGTGAAGAAGGTTGACTGGAAAAGATAATATGCTCACATTCACATTATGGAGAAATGCCACCAGCTAAGCTGTATAAGTTAACTAGGATGGGAGGAACTACAGTCCAGGCTAGAAAGAAGCAGCAACTACTCTAAATTAGTAGTGATAAGAATGGAGAGTAAGGAATGGATGAGAGAGACCAAGAAGGTAGTCTTGATAACCCTCAGAGATTGAGGAAAATTCCCCATTTTCTAGTTTGAGCACATGGTAGGGTCATGATGTCATTAGTCAAAATGGAGACAACAGGAATAGAAACAGTTTTGACAGGAAAATAGTGAGCTCAATTTGGAATTTGTCTGAACAGAGCTATCCATTAAGCAGTCCAGAGCTCAGATGATGCCAGAATTAACTCCAATGGATGAAATTAAGGTAGTAATGGAAGACAAAGCCAAAAATAATGTCAGTCAGAGGAAGTATATAGGTCAAATATGAGGCTAGAATACCTTTACTTTCTGGCTTTCACTTGTTTTCTAATTGGACAACTGAATTTTATGAAGGTGAGATGTTACGAAAGTTTTCTCCACTTAGGTCTGCTAAATATAGATTCTTAAGTTTCCTGAGCATTGTGTCCAACTTCTTTACTGTCATCTGAGACCTGGTAAAGTGTTTGGGACCTGAAAAGTGCCCAATAAAAATGGATGAGTTAAGTAAATGTGGCCCTTACGTCAGTCAAAAAGTCAAGATGCAGTGTTGAAAGACTTTAAAATTGCTTCAGATATCCTCTCAAAGTTATAGATTAACATTTAATGGAGTAATCTAAATTTTTCTCTATATACTGCCTTTTCCATTTAGAAACATACAATTCTCAGTGGTTTGGGAACTCTGACTTTTTGGAGTTCAAGAACTCACTTAAAATCAAATTTATGGCTGTCCATACTTCAGATTTCTATGGAGAAGTCAGAAGCAGGTAGAAAAGTACAATTACTGAATTTTAAAAATACATTCATTTTAAAAAGGGAAAATACTAAAATGCCACCCCCACAGGTACATTCTTATGTTAACAATGTGAGAGATTGTCAAAGGAACACAGAGGAAGAGTTTTTTAAAAAGACTCTCATCCTGAGAATGAAAACTAGACAAGCTCAAATGTTTCTTTAGTACTTTCTTTGTACATACCTACTCATGTCAAAGGAACACAGAGGAAGAGTTTTTTAAAAAGACTCTCATCCCGAGAATGAAAACTAGACAAGCTCAAATGTTTCTTTAGTACTTTCTTTGTACATACCTACTCAGATAAATGCATATTACATAAACTCAGAAAATAAGGAGTGTTCATACACTGGTGGATGATAAAGGTAAGTCAACAGGCAGGAAGATGGCTGGCTGTGGAGCACGAGAAACTATGTAATAAGGACTTGAGAGTCTGATAGGCATAGTACAGAGTTCAGTCAGTCAAGTTTTGTTGTTTGAAAAATACTAATTTTCTCTCTTTTTGTTATTTCTCATTAACAAAGTAAAAGCTATTTTAAGAGACCCACATAACTCAACCAAAACTAAGAAAGGAAAAAGTTCAATGGCTTGTACATAGGATTACATTACAGGCAAACCTTTTTGGATAGACCAGTTTTTTTTTTTGGCGGATCTGAAGACCAGTTCTTAATATTTCCTTTTGCTTTTCTTGGAATGTCTATCCTCCCTCTTATGCACATCTTTTTTTGTTAACGAAGAGTAGGTAGTATGATAGTAGTAAGGAGAAAAAAAAAAAAACAAAAAACCAACTGAACATAATGACCTAATTTTAAAACTACCTGAAAATTANCTATCCTCCCTCTTATGCACATCTTTTTTTGTTAACGAAGAGTAGGTAGTATGATAGTAGTAAGGAGAAAAAAAAAAACAAAAAACCAACTGAACATAATGACCTAATTTTAAAACTACCTGAAAATTAACCCATCTTTATTGGCACATATTCTTACATAAATGTTTTTGCATAATTGAGAATTCTTTGTGCACAATTTATCTGCCTGGATGTGGATCATGAAAATGTCTTACCACAAATCTTGGGTATTACATACCTTTACAATTAGATTTTAGATTGTAAGAGACTGAATGGAGCAGTTAAGAGTCTCAGTTTCGGAGTTAGCAGTTTAGTTCTTGCTTCACCATTTATTATGTCTGTAACTTTGGATTCTTATAAGTACCCTCCATCTCAGTAATCTGTAAAATGGGACTAATAATAGGACTTACTTCGCAAGACTCACAAGGATGATATAAGATAATGTACAAGAAAGACACTACATAAATTGTGTTATTTTTGTAGCTGTATGTAAGTTCAGTCAGTACTTACCCACTTTTGTATTTCAAGTAAATCAAATAACCTGGGTTCCACCATGATGGGAAACAAAAGCCGACTAACTTCCAGAGTACTGTAGTGTCACATCATTGATAAATGTACCACCACTGAAATGTTCCAAGTAATTTCTTCCCTTTAACCTTACATTGAAACAGCCAATAAGTCAAGTTTCAATCTGCTACTATCTGAGAAGGCAATGAATAGAAGACAGCTTGTCCTGAAAATCCACTGCGAATAACAACTAAGCAGATAAACTGCATGCAAAAAGTCTAAATTTTAATGGTATTAAACTGAGTAAAAACTGTCAGCAGCTTGCTTTGAACAATCCTGTAAGTTTTAAGAAAACTCTGCTTCTGCTTACTTGCTTCCTAAGAGATCTCTGATGCAAAATGCAAACACATCAGTGGTCATACTTTTTATCCCCTTTTGAGTAATAAAAATCTAGATCTGTTTCTCACATTTTTAGATGGTGACCAAGATACCCTTCACGGTTATGTCATAAAATTGTACTTTTGTTTTGGAAGATTTCTTTTTAGATTATCACCATATTAAAATCACACGTACATTCTCTCATAATTACAAAAGGCAGTTTCAGGATCCAAAGGCCTGCTAGCTTGGAATTTTAAGTTTACTACTCCACCACAATGGGGATTCAGTTTTATATTTTGGGTTTAGGGTTCAGTTTGGCTTTCTTCATCATGATTTTACCCTCAAATATACTGTGACTAAACTGCATTACTATTTATTACACATGCAAGCATTTCAGATGGAATCAAGGAGAAGGATGGAGTAATTAGAGTTAACACGCTTGTTTAAAAACTACTCAGATCAGACATCTTAAACACTCCCAGATGCCAACTGACAACCTTACCACTTGAAACAAACATGCATTTGTTGTGGTAGGGGAGAGGAAAAAGGCCACACCCAAAGTTAAGGCTCCATAATGAAGTAATAACAAGTTTCAGAATTTTAACTAGCACTATTTTCGGTACTCTTTTTCACGGTCGATGAATTCTGTAAATTCAAACCAGGCCCAATGTTAGAGAAAATGCTCCTCTGAGCCTAATTACCTAGGTTACCTCAGTAACGGACAAGTCCAAGGTGGAGTTACCTCATTCACAGAGAGACTTAAGTAACTCTGGTGTAACTGAGGACCAAACTCAAATGATCAGTGCTCAGTAGTGACTCTCAAAGAGCCGGTTACCCCTTCTCCCCTCCCCCAAGGGGTCAGGAAGGCAAGAAGAGCCTGACTGTATCACCACGGCAGTTACCTGACACAGGACGCTACCAAGTCATCTGGACCTTTTTTTCAGTTTAGACGCTCCCTAGACTCCTCTCCTTCCTGGTGCCATCTCCATCCAGGTCTCTCCTCCCGCCCATCCCACCCCCGCCAGCCCAGCATCCACAGGCTTCCTCAGCCTCATCTCCATCCCAGCACCGTGCCCTCGCCTACTCCCCTCATCCCCGCTTACCTTGGCCACATAGTCTTTCACCTCGTCCAAGTCTCCGTTTTTCAGGGCCCACATGAACTCCTTGTCGCACATCACTGCAGCGGAGCAGGCCGGCTGGCCGGGCAGAAGACGAGGAGGCGGCGGCAGCAGCAAGCGGATACCGCCGGGCGAAAGGGAGACAGGGCCACACCAAGCCGGAGAGGAGAGGAGAAGGCGGGCTAGGCTGCCAGGCGGGCGAGGCAGTTGGCCGCGGCGACCGTTGGGGCGGGAGAAAGAAAAGTTCTTTTGCGGCCACCAGGCCCCGCCGAGTAGGTTCCGCCTGGTCGAGGGGAAGCAGGAGCGCTTGCACTTCCGGTTCACTCCCCACTAGGATCCTCCTCCAACTTCCTCTTCCTCTTTCCTTCCGGGGAACGCCCCGCTCTGGACCCCGCCCCTACGGCCCTTGGCGCGAGGCGCACTGGTGCGCAGGCGCAGTGGCGAGGCCGGCTGGAGTCGGGCTGGAGGGGAGGAGCCGGGGGCGAGTGGGCGGGACTGGGGGGCTGAGTAAAGGGCGTCCAGGGGAGGTCAGGGGAGGTCAGGAGAAGTGGAGAGCGAGTTAGGGGAGAGTTAGTGTTTCAGATGAGATTGAGACGTTTCTGCACCACTGTAAGTGGCAATTTTTTTTTTTTAAAGCATAATCTTGGAGGGCATCTTGCTCACCTTCTTTAAATGTCAAGCAGGAGTGTTTGATTTGGATTCCCTTCCTCCCTTCCTCCCTTCCTCCCTTCCTCTTTCCCCTTCCCCACCATTCCCTCCCTCCCTTCCTTCCCACTCTGCTATGCAGTATTGCTTGGGCTTCTACTACCTGCCAGACTCTGCTAGGCACACAGAATATAGTAAAAAGGACGGAGTAATGCAATTCCTGCCCCCAAGGAAATTTTCAGTACCTAAGACAACAATGTGAATTTAGTGTGTTAATACTATGTACTGAATAATGTTCTGTGGAGTGAAAAACTTTAGTGTGTGGTGGGGAAAAAACATCTCCTTGACTGGCAAATGATGCCAAGGACTAGGAATTAAGTTTGATGTCACAAGGCAGAGCAAAACTGTCTGGTATAATTTGTGTTTTAAAAATTTTGTGTCTGTTTTTAATGGAGCTTCAGGGCCATTGTAGTGAAGCCAGTTCTATTCCTCCCAGAGTTTGGCTCCCAGAGTTTCACAGCCACCAGGTGAATTGTGCCTCACAACCCTAATATCCAGACACACGCGAATATAGACAGATGCAATAAAAACTATTATTGTAACTATTATGTATAAAGTCTATTATTTATGACCCTCTAAACAAATAAACTTTATTACTGTTGCCATATAGTGTAGTGTTTAAGAACACAGACTCTGGAGCCAGGTTGCTTAGTTTTGAATATAGGCCCCACCCCTTACTAATTGTGTGTCATCTCTGGCTAATTACTTAACGCCTCTTGTCTCAGTTTTCCACATGTGTAAAATAGGGATAGTAAGTGTTCACTGAATGTATTTTTTTTTTTTTTTTTTGCTGTCATTTAGAAATAGCAAATAGAGAGGCTTCAAATCAAAAGAAAAACCTCCAAGCTCGAGGGTTAGCTCAATTGGTTCGAGTGCAGTGTTACTCAACAATAAGGTCATGGGCTTGGATCCCCTTACCAGCCAGCTCTTCCCCTGCCCCTAAAAACCTCCAAATATTAACAGTTATCTTAATTGTTATTCTGTTCGTTATACTTCCTGACAATTGGAAATATAAATCTACATTTGATACAATAGTGATACATTTCTGGAAACAAATCCCAAGAAGGAATTTGTTAGGCAAATCTCGGAGTCCCTATTTCCTCTGTAACTCATACTCCCCACCTCTGTGATCTCTGCATTACATTATCCTGACAGCTCTTGATTTACATCTCTGACCCAGACTTCTGTGTCATCCATTACTCATTTGAGTGTCTCAAACTTAACAAGTCCAGAATAGGATCTGGTTTCCTATAGATTCTAAACATAGTTGTCCTCTATATTTCCCCATCTCTGTAAATGGCACCACCAATCACCCTGTCGCTAAAACCAGAAACATGGGAGTCATAATAGCTTCTTCCATTCCCAACTTTTCTCTCTTATTAAATTCATCATTAATTCCTTCAAAATATACCTTAAATTTGTTTACTCCTTGCCATCTTCACTACTGACCAACCCCCTGCCACAACCCCAAGTCGCTATTATCTCTGTCTGTACAGATGATCTCCCCATTTTCACTCCTATCCTTTCCTGGGTAATTCCCCCACAGAAAGAGTTACCTGTTTAAAACATAAATCAAACATGTACTTCTTGTCCTAAGACCTTTCAATGGCTTCCTATTGCCTGAAGGATAAAATCCTAACAATTTGCTATGGCCTTCAGGGCTCTCTGTGATCTGACCCTTGACGGTGTCTGTTGTCTCATGACCCTTGACGGTGTCTGTTGTCTCATGACACTCCCTCCCACCTCCATTGCTCCTTTGGTTCCTATATATCTCATCTGTCATCATTTTCAGGAAGAACCAAGCTCATTTCACCCTATGGCCTTTATGCTTGTTGTTTCCTGTCTGACATGTTCTTGTAATTCTTGCTCACTCCTTCTGACCTTTGAGGTCTCAATGCAAATGTTACCTTTTCAGAAAGACCTCCCAGAACACCCATTATAAATAAGTCCCACGATTACTTCTATCAGATAGCCCAGCTTTTTTCCTCCTTTAAGGCAATTATTACAAATATTTTCATTATTTTTCTTGTTTATCTATTTTGGTAGGTTTTCATGGAGTTCAACAAATATTTCCTTTTGTCTGCCATTCTGGGCACAAGACAGAATTGCTCTTCCTGGCTCCCTTGTAGGTGAATAATGTCATGTACCTCATTTTGGCCTATTAGTTATGAGCAGAAGTAATACGAGTAACTTCTAGGCTTGCCCATGCAAGACCCTTCAGAGCTCTTGTTTTC